TGTATCAAACTCCCCCATCTCCTGGTAACTCGCGGCAGCCGCCTCCTCGTCCTTCTCCACCAGACGTGCAGGGCCAGACGCCGAGGCCAAGCCCAGTACCTCCAAGCAAGTATCCTCCGTCCACGGCTCCCGACGGAGCTCCGTTGGCCCCAGCACCACCATATAATGTAGGCCTATATATTCTCTGACTCGGGCGGTGCTCATGGCCCCTCCCAGGCAAAGCCCTTCACGGCTGTTTCTCCGCAGGTGGAGTCAGCAGGTAGCAAGCCATATGCTGGGGGTGGCTTGGTCGCGCAGTCTGGTATATCACCTGCAGGGCCGAGTGTTGCGCTGCAGGCACCGCCGTTGAGGCCGGAGAAACGCAAGCGCAAGGTGGGATTGGACGACTTCAACTTCTTAGCTGTCCTTGGAAAAGGCAACTTCGGCAAGGTCATGTTGGCAGAGGAAAAGCGATCCAATGCCCTGTACGCGATAAAGGTGCTGAAAAAGGAGTTCATCATCGACAATGATGAGATCGAAAGGTGTGGTCCAGTGCTTTACCGCTCGACTCTGCTAACGAGTTTGACCAGCACTCGATCCGAGAAGAGAGTGTTCCTAACGGCTGCCAAAGAGAGGCATCCTTTCCTTTTGGGCTTGCATTCCTGTTTCCAGACGGAAACCCGGATATATTTTGTCATGGAATATGTCAGTGGGGGAGACTTAATGCTTCACATTCAGCGCAAACAATTCTCTTTGCGACAAGCAAAGTTTTACGCGTCCGAAGTCCTCCTTGCATTGGAGTATTTCCATGCAAATGGCATTATCTACCGGTGAGCACCCGAAGTTTGCGTTCTTCTGTAAGGTCCGCTAAATATCTGCAGTGACTTGAAGCTGGATAACATCCTTCTGACTCTGGACGGGCATGTGAAAGTTGCGGACTACGGTTTGTGCAAAGAAGAGATGTGGTACGGTGAAACCACGAGCACTTTCTGCGGGACACCCGAATTCATGGCGCCTGAGGTGAGCCTGATTTGTGATTGGTGGTCTACTTGCCTTCAGATAAATCGTCGCCATAGATCCTGCTGGAACAGCGTTACGGCCGTGCTGTAGATTGGTGGGCGTTCGGCGTGTTGACATACGAAATGCTACTTGGCCAATCCCCCTTCCGCGGTGATGATGAAGACGAGATTTTCGATGCGATCTTGGAAGATGAGCCATTGTATCCCATCACTATGCCCCGAGACGCCGTGTCGATCTTGCAAAAGGTGACGATATCCTCCTACCAGATTTGTTTGCAATGCAACTGACCGTTCCTATGACAGCTCCTCACTAGGGATCCAGCACGGAGACTTGGCTCGGGCGCAAACGATGCCGAGGATATCAAGAAGCACCCTTTCTTCAAAGACGTCAGCTGGGATGATGTGTTCCACAAGCGTATACCTCCACCATATTATCCCACCATTGTCAGCCAAAATCGCCTTTTCGTAACTGCATTTACTAATCTTGCAACTAGACCTCGGCGCATGACACAAGTAACTTTGATCAGGTGCGTTTAGCTAACACAGCCTCCTTGATGAATACAAGTCTAACCGGGAACGCAGGAGTTTACTAGAGAGCAGCCCACATTGACGCCGGTGCATGGGCAATTGTCCAGTCGTGACCAGCAAGAGTTTCAGGGATTCTCTTGGGTGAGCGATGGTCCTCTCTCAGCGTACTGATTCGCTAACGCGAAACACATTCCAGGTTGCTACATGGGCAGACAACTGATTTGGGTCTAGTTCGTTGCTTCGCGCGAGTGTTTTGTATTCCCTATCGCTGTACTACAGAGTGAATATACGAAGCAGAATGTAGACTGTCAGCAGAACACACCTGGTTTAGTGCTTCTTCCACCTGCCCAGTGCGTCTAAGGCTCGCTTCCCCGGCTGCTCTCGTCAACGGGCATTTCTCCCTCTTTCTGCTCTCGCATGAGGTGATGGAATCTACCCCACAATGATGATATCGTTTCAAATTCGCGACCGACCCCGAGGACTTCCTCCAATTTCCGGTTCAGCAGATTGGACGATGACAGCAAGTCTTCGAAGCTCTAATGGGCCGACGGAAGAAGGATGGATTAGTTGAAGTCGCACAAGTACGTCCTTGTACTTTGCTTACAGATGTGATTTCTGCCACGAGCCTCTCCCGTTCTTTCTCGAAATACGTGGACTCCGTATCGGTAGCTGATTGACTAGCAGCCATTTTCTTGTTCGCGGGTGCGTGCCACGGGAAGAGTAGTGGTAGGCTCGACGTGACGGGACGCGTTGTGTGAAAACAGGCGCGCAAATGCCTTCGGTTGAGGGGAGGTTAGTACGCGTTTCGTGGCCATATAACAGGATGGAATCAAACCCAATCATAATGGAGGCAGCAAGACGCGTCCGAGCTCTTGAGGCTCTGTCACATGACCGAGCTAGGTAAGCACTTTTGGACCCTGCAGGCACTAAGTTCTACGCGCCCGCCACTTCCAAAAATAGTGGCCTTGTCGAACAGCTTCCCAACATTTGGTCTCCATTTCATGCTCCTTACTAGATGCTTCTAAGAACATTGATACTTGGAATTCGTGAGGCTATTGTGCGGATCTATTGTGCTCAGACACATTTGCTGCGGCTATTGGATGCGCAGTGGCTGTGCGAGTCTCCACAGCCATCTGCAAGGGAAGCGGAAGTATGTTCTGGCGGCCAAATAAGCAAAACGGAGCCTAATACTGGTATCTGGTCGGTATACTTCCGTACCCCTCCCCTTGCCCTCCTAGATTTGTAGTGAAGGCCACCCACATGTCGAGGTCACCATCTTAGTGGATGGCACCATGGGAGACCGCGACTTCCTCGACACGGTCTCTGGGGAGATTGCATTCTTCCGCGGTATCATGCAAGCTCGACCGGTGGGAATGAATCGACACTTCCACATGTTAACCGTCCAGCAGCACATCAAGGAAGCAACGAAGACAACCGTTGCTCTGGAAGCGCTCTGGGACAAGTTGGACAGTCTCTATGACCTTCAGAAGCTGGAGAATATGGTGCTTATATTAATATTCTCTGACATTGTCCGGTTGATGAGTAACGTACTAGGATGTATCCGAAGAGGACGAGTCTCCACCACAGATGGATATACCTCTACCTGAATCCGACGGATCAGCCAGTCTGTCCTCTCCTGCAATCAGAAAGGTCATATTCCATCCACACTTTCGCGAAGAGTTTTCCCTTCCTCAAGAAGAATATGAACCAATCGTCGCACAGAGGAGGATCAAAGACACGCCGAGCTCCGCCGACGAAAGCACGACCAGACCATCTCGGCGGAACCTAAGGGCAAAGGACAGGAATGCTGGACTAGTCTCGGGTGACAGTGAAAGCAGCGAACTCACTGAAGGCGATGGAGACCAAGACGCTAGAGTCGATGATAGTGTGGAGGGTACGCCTAACACCTCTTTTTATCTTGATGTTGACGCTCATTGCGCGCGGAGCAGACCGGTCACAGCCACCTCGGCGCGGGAGACAATCCCAATCCCTCAAGCCTCGCAAGAGCTCGCAATCGGCCACGAAAACGAGGGGTGGGTCAAAAGCAGAGACTATGAAACGCAGGAGGGTTAGTTGAAAGCAGCGACACACCCACGTTCTCCTTCGGCTCACGCCTGAATGACTTAGCGATAGCGGCGATATGGGAGACTCGGCATCAGCCAGATTGCCACCCTGCTACAGCACCCGATTTTTGCCAGGATTTCAACGTAGTCTCAGCGACGATCTACATGGGGCACTCGCATATACTTAGCACTGGCGATTCCAGATGCCATAGCATGTGGACTTACTATACTGTAGTTTACAGTCTGATAAGAGAGGCAGGAGTACTTCGACAGTTCGATCTCGGCTTCCGTTTAAAGGTACGAGCTGCACACCGTCCAGAGGGCTCTAGAGGCCGTGCTCTGCTTTTCACGCGGTTCCTGCGGTCGCGCGCCTTCGCCTACGTCGGAAGCGAGGATTTTCCGGCTCCGAACCCCCGTTCCTTGACGCCGAGGCGGGAGTAGACGGAATCAATTCCCCTCGGTATGATCCGAGATGAGTGGCATCTTTACTTCCGATAGGGTTTAGATGAAATCGCCCTGGCCGCGTTGCCCTCACTTAAGTACACCATCCGCACCAGCCACCACATTACTCTTCACCTCCCCGTACCACTCTATCCTCATCTCGTCATGTTGCCCGCTCAGCGTCAGAAAGTGGACCTCAGCGTATGTACCTCTCCGTATAATCTCTCCAGGGCTTCCTCTGACCTAGCCGTACTCAGACGATGACCGAAGAGGAGAAGAAGCTGTTCAGCCTCTACGGCAAGCTCCCCAACCACAAGAATGTTCTGATGAAGATGCAAAAAGCACGCTTTCTTTCGCATCGAGCACATGTTCTGTGACTAATTATATCCGAAGGATCGCAAGTATTTTGATTCAGGTGACTATGCGTTGTCCAAGGCTGGAGTAGCCACAGAGAACGCGGTTGGCACTGCCATCCCAAGCCCCGAGTCGTACGTGCTGCGTCTAGTCTTTGCTGTTCTCCTTTGCTTATTGGGCTCAGGATTCCGCATGCATCGCCGCCGTCTTCTCACCCCCCTTTGTCGGCATCGCCCAATCTATCGAGTAGCCCGGTGAAGGATGCCCTGGCAAAGACAGAGGGTTCGGGAGCTACGTGACAAGTCCTTCGCCGTTATACCTTGATGCAGTCCCACACATAGCTCCATCTTTTGTACTTCTAGGCCGTCCTTCCGCGCTCGTAATGCTGTAACATGTCCCAGGACATCAATCCAAGTCACTCTGTGTTATATCCATTTCGTGTAACATATCGATCGACCACTGCCGACGATACAGGTTGCTTGCCCTCAACACGTACAACACTATCAACGCTATAACTTAACTGAATTCTGGCTATGCTCTCTACACCCAACGACAAAGCTATACTCGTTCAAGCGAATTCGCGCCGCCATAGGGATGTGTTATAAAATGACTTCTCTGATGGTTACGAGATTCGAACTCGCGCGCCAAAGGCACTGCCGATTGATAATACTACCTAAAGGCAGCGGATTAACCACTCTCCCAAACCATCCAGAACCTATGAATTGGTGAACACAACCCTCACAGCCTCCCCATAGCCTGCACAACCCGACTCCGCAAGGGAAGTTGGGTTCAGAGGTCTTACCCTGCTATTCACCTGCGCCTATGGCTTCCAACCATACGTGGGTTTACTCCTGTGTCCACCTCAGGGATTTCTTGCTGTCGTTGCACGGCCGTTCTTCCGCGTGGGGTGCTTCGACTTTCGATTGGCAGCTTGCTTCCGCTGACTCATTTGCTTCCGTGTGGACATTTCGTTCTGCTTCCGGTTTTCCTTCCGCTCGCGCAATTTATTGACACACCAACTTTGCCTCCGATAACCAATCCGGTCCCATGTGAATATTTCCTTGCATATTCAAATCCGTTTCCGAAAACGCATTTGCCGCTGACAAAATATTTGCCTCCGTGACTTGTTTCCTGTGGCTCAGGCTTTTTTGTCCACTGAGTAATCTACTTCCACTGGGGTATTTGCTTCCGCCGAATCCTTTCCATCCATCTTTTTGTTGCTTCCGGTCATTTCTCTGTATTGGTCCCCGTTTACTTACATGCCAGAATCTACTTCCGTTTGGTGATTTGCCCCCCCTCCCCCCTACCACTCAGCTTACTCTCATGCTATATTCTGTCCATTTGGCTGTTTGCCTATGCTGAAGACATTACTTCCAATTGGGGAGTTGCTTGCACATCTAAGGGCCCATTCGAGAAACAGATGGATCATCTGGGCATCCCTAGCTTCATCTGTGCAATGCGGAGCACAAATTTCTGAAACAAACCTGAACAGATGGGCCTTCATCTGCTTAGATGGCCATTCTCCATCTCATTGCTGAACTGACCCTTACCTTTCCCCATTCTTCTCTGGTTCCTCCATTCAACAGGACAATAGGCCATCCAGGTATCTTGCTGAAAACAAAGATGTGCTTTCAGCAAAATCCCTAACATTCCAACATGCGCCCGGTCTCCACCAGGACACATACCATCCAGTATCTGTGCTTGGAGAGCATGAGTAGCATGATGGTGATGTGTGAAAACCAGCAGGACCTGGACAAGAGCTGTCCTGACAGAGCAGGAGCAATAGTTTGTTTGGACTTAATCTGATGAATTGCAACTTTTAGTGATATATCTGCCAGGGCTGATATTATGGGGTACCCCTGGTTGGAGATCATGAACAGTACCCTCATCCTTCATGGGAACCAGCAGGACCCTGAGGGCAGCCCCTGCCATGGAGATAGAGCAATAGTTTGTTTGGACTCAATCTGTTGGATTGCACCTTTTTGTCAGATATGTGCCAGGATCCATACAATCCAGTTGCTGTGGCAGGAGATCATGGAACAGTACCCTCATCCTTCATGGAAACCAGCAGGACCCTGAGGGCAGCCTTTGCCATGGAGATAGAGCAGTAGTCTGTTTGGACTCAATCTGTTGGATCGCACCTTTTTGTCAGATACAGTGGTGCTCAAAACCTTTGCACATGGGCCCTGATGCACAACTGACATTAGTACTTTGTGTACAACCCCTTTGCCTCTACAAGTGCTTCAAGCCTCTGAGGCAACAATTCGTACAAGCTTTCTACATAACTAATGCTCAGTCCTTTCCACTCCTCCTGCAGTGCTTCCCAAAGCTGGTCTTTGTTGGTTGGGAGTGGGTTTTGAGCTCGGATACAGCGGTCAAGTTCATGCCAGGTGTTCTTGATGATGTTCATGTCTGGTGAATACAAAGGCCATGGCAAGACATCAATACCAGCCTCCTGGAAGTAGCGGAGGGTGGCCTTCAACTTGTGGATGGGTGCATTGTCCTGCTGGAACCACACAGAGATGTGGTCCATGCTGTAGTCTTGGAGGGTGTCACAGTATGCCCCTTTCAGAATTTTGATGTAGTCAACCGAGCTGATTTGTCCTTCAATTCTGTGCAGACGGCCAGTACTCCAGGGTGTGGTGCAGCCCCAGACCATTACTGAGCCCCAACCATGCTTGACAACCTTGATGACATTGTGAGGAAGCAGTTCTTCTCCAGGTCGACGGCAGCAGTACAGGCATCCATCTGATCCAAACAGGTTGAACTTTGACTCATCCAAGAAGATCATGTTGTCCCAGTAGCCCCAAGTCCACTTGGAATACTCAGTGCCCCAGGACAGCCAGATCTCAACTGCCTTCTCAGACAGCCATGGCTTCTCATGGCAGATTTGACCAAAGAGCCCAATTTGGCAGAGGGTCCAGCACATTGTTGCAGGTGAGACGTCCTGGAAGAGCTGGCATCAAAGATCTTCACCATTGTGTGCCTTGCCAGTATTGAAGTACTCCTCCATGATTGGATACCAATCCTCATGGATGGCACAAGGGCAACCAGGCTGTGTTATTGTCCAATAGAAGGATTCAGCATCTTTGTATCTCACAATGTTGTGACGCACAGTGGAAGAATGACAGTCAATCTTTAAGGCTGATCTCAACCGAGTCCATGCCTGCTTCATGGTAGGCGATTACTTGAGCTTGATGGGTTGGGGTAAGCTTGCTGTAGGGCTTGCGGTCCCGCTGACGAGTCTGGGGAACCTCAGGCATGAGGGGAAGATGTGGATAGAGCAGTATCAGGGCAGAGAGGCAGGGCTTTATAGACAGAGCAAGCAGGCAAGTGATAGGGTTGGGCTCTGCAATCAGTTCTGGCATGGGTCCGTGCACTCAAAGTCACATTTCCTCCTAATTTTCTCTCACAATCAGTATTCAAATTTTGGTCACATGGTCTTTGACAGGTAAATAATGATTTCTATTAAGAGAATTTTGAGACTCGGTGAGAAGCAACTGCAACTTACATTAGACATGGTCAGGGTTGGGCGTGTGCAAAAGTTTTGAGCACCACTGTATGTGCCAGGATCCATACAATCCAGTCACTGTGGCTAAAGATCATGAACAGTACCCTCATCCTTATGGAAACCAGCAGGACCTCCAAGGGAGCTGTCCTGACAGAGCAGGAGCAATAGTTTGTTTGGACTCAATCTGTTGGATTGCACCTTTTAGTTGTATCTCTGCAAGGGCTTTCATCCTGGGGGTACCCCTGGTTGGAGATCATGAACAGTACCCTCATCCTTCATGGGAACCAGCAGGACCCTGAGGGCAGCCCCTGCCATGGAGATAGAGCAATAGTTTGTTCGGACTCAATGTGCTCAGTAGGATCATTCCATGGGAAGATGTTCTCTGCAGGGACCAGCTTTCTCCAGCATGCTTGTGAGGTGACGGAAATATTTGAATCAGTGCAATGAACCAGGGGTTGTGGGCTGAATGACCACAGGCAAAGGTAGTCATGGGAAAATGTCTTGTATTGCGGGATTCCTGAAATTCACAGGATGCAGAGTTTTGCAGTTGTCAGAAAAGTCAGCAAGGCCGGCAAATGCAAGTAGGTGATTGCAGGATCCATTTCCAGTTGTTTGGATGTCTTGTGTCCTTTGGTTTCCGCTCCGTTTGGTTGCGTGGAATTCCCATTGCTCCCGCAAGGACCTTCCTTTGCAATCACTCAATTGTTTTTGTGTGTCTGAGGCATATGGAACTAAAATTGCTCCAGATGCAAGCAAAGCCACACTCTCCGGAAGCAGAAACTGGCAACAGGGAAGCAAACATACACTGGGGAGTCAGATACACCACCCCTGGAAGTTAATATCCGTGAAGGGGAAGAAATCACATAGCCGTAAGCCGGGCAGCATCTATAATGAAGCAAACTGGGCAGTGGTGGTGAGGGGCTGCGCACGTTTTGCCCATGTGCAAGCAGGGGCCAGGTGGCTATGCAGACTGGACATGGCCTTTTGCCCAACAGCATGCTCTGCCAGCCCCTTGCCCCTTGACTCCCCCCACCACTAAGGGGAGGGGTATCCCATGGGTTGCACGGCAGCAACAGAAAAGCTGTCAGGGTACAGCCATAGACCACTTCTATTTTCCCTCTATCTCTGCACCTTCCCACTACTAGGTTATGATGTCATAGCTGTGGAGCCTCTATGAGGCAAGGATGATATCATGAGGTGTCAGCTGTGACACTAGCACAGCATTACCATGATGTCATGGTCTGGACCCTAGGCCTGGACTCCCCAGTCATAAGAGGGTCACCTATGATGTCAGAGTGATGCAATACATGACTCCCCCTCTGTCATTAGCCACAGCATCATGACTCCACTTGTCTTTCTCCTGTGCACCCCTCTGTGTATAAGTGGCTAGCACTTCCTGTGTTCTGATCCCTCAGACTTGGTCTCTGAGGATCCTCCACAGGCATACTGTAGGACAATCCCAAGTGTCATCAAGTCAACCATCCCTGCCCTGCCCTTGTTAGTGTGACTCTTCCCTTCCTGTCTAGGTAGCAGCCTTACCAGAAGCCTGTGTGCCCTCACAGAAGACCAAGTCTCTCACTTCTTAACTCTGCTACAACACTCTGCTCAACTCTACCTGCTTTCACAACAACCACACTACAAGGGCTCCACCATACACCTCTTGCTCTCCAAGCTACTATGGACCAGCAACAGGCAGAGCAACTCATTCTCTCCCTCCAAGCTCAAGTCCAGGAGCTCTCTGAGCAGATCCAGCAGCTACATGCCAACCAAGCAACAGCTCAGCACCCTCAGACAGCCCCTTCTGAGCATACCCCTCAGA